GCAATATAATTAATCAGATCGCTATTTTAGGTCAGCCTGGGTGCTGCATTGCCAGCTTTACAGTTTGAGAAGGCTAGGAAGTATTTTCTAAGGACTTAGTACTTACTTAATAATGTTAGATCAAAGGAAAAGCAATCAATCCAGAGTTAAAGCCACATATTTATCCCATTTTATATGGTGAAATTTGTCTATTATATCATTTAGCAGTAAACCATGAAGCCTCTCATGCTATTTTGGAGAGTATAGCATTGTCTAACGCGAGGTGGAAATGAATTAAAACCAAGAGAGAGAGAGAGATTTAAAAATATTTTATTCACTAATTCATTCACTCACTTATTTGGTTATTCATTAAACACCACTAAGGGCTCATTAACACATTAGTATGTGCTATAAAACAGAGTATGACGTTTCTCTCAAGCTCTTGCGATCCCGTTTAAGCTACCCTTCCTCCTTTCTCACATTCTGGTTGACACTCCTTCTAGAATAGGTGGATCTCTACTGAAACTCTGCACAGCCATGCCTAACCTCCTCCAGACCTCCTCTACCTCTAAGCTATGCCTCCGCTTCATTATTTTTCCATTCATTTATCCAAACCTCATCCTTCTTTTTTTGTTTGTTTGTTTTTTGAAGTGGAGTTTTATTCTCGTTGCCCAGGCTGGAGTGCAATGGTGTGATCTCGGCTCACCACAACCTCTGCCTCCTAAGTTCAAGTGATTCTCCTGCCTTAGCCTCCTGAGTAGCTGGGATTACAGGCATGCACTACCATTCCCGGCTAATTTTGTATTTTTGGTAGAAACAGGGTTTCACCATGTTGGTCAGGCTGGTCTTGAACTCTTGACCTCAGGTGATCTGCCCACCTTGGCCTCCCAAAGTGCTGGGATTACAGGCTTGAGCTACCACACCTGGCCCATCCTTCTTTTCCTAATATCTCGGCTCAAGTCTACTTTTAAAAAAATAAACAATTTATCTTAAGCTCTAATATAGAGCTATAAGGGTTATTACATATAAAGAAGTACAAGATGCAACCAGGACCATGCAAACCCTGCCATCCTGTTTAGAAATTCTGAGTCATGTTTCAAACTTAGAGAGTGTTGGCAACATATAGCCTGTGTGTAATACCAGACAACTGATTCCTACCGAGAGTGCTGTAGGAGGTTGTGGGAGAGAACCACTGGAAGCTTCTTAGGAAACTGAGATTTAAGTTTTGAAAATAAGATCTGGGTGGCTGTAAAAAAAGGACAAGACATTCCCAGAGGGTATGAAAATCTACCTACACCAAGAAGGCCCACTCTAGTGGGTACAATTAACTTGCCCCCTAATGCACATATCTTGAGTTTAAACCTTCTCTCACAAGCTTAATTTGTATGCTGATTCTTCAGCAGTGGCTTAAAAAAACAAAGATGGGGCAGTGTTTCTGGTTTTTTTTTTTTTTTTTTCTCCATCCTATTTTATTTCAAGCTCTTCATAAAGAGGCTCATATCTGACCTCTAGTTCAAGTTGCTGTCCGGGTGTGCTCTGCCTCAAAGACAGACTGTGAAAGAATTAGCAGATTATAAGAATTTAAGCTCTTGTGGATATACTGTGACAACCAGGCCAGGTCCTGGTGTGAACTGAAAAAGAGATGCGAGAGACCTGCCACTGGGCTTTGTCCATAGAAAGTGTGTGAAAAAATAACGAAATCATTTAGTATTGATTTATACTGGTTATACTGCAGTAACCAGTATGAATGAAACCATAAAATCCAGGGGAACAGTGAGACAAACCCAAAATATGACTGAGGATAAGTACGGTAATTCAGAGGAAGTAGTCTGCCTGGGTCCCCAGTGGTGGGGAAATGAGTGGATGGGAGAAGTACTGGGTTGGGGAGGGTGCTGGGTGAGGCTGGGGCTTCTCGGGCTACAAATGACGTGAGCACTGTCATGTCAGGAGACTTGAGACAGCACCAAGCTGTGAAAGTGGCTGGGCTCAGTTTCCTGTTTAGTTTCACATCCGCTGACTTTAAGTGTTAATATCTGCATTTAGGCAGTGACTGTGAAGCAAGGGAATTCTTGACCAGGCTTTCCTATTTATGTTGTCCTTATCCCAAGGCTCCCCATGACAATACAAATGCCACTAAGCCAGGTTAATAAAGATAGGGACATGGACTCTTGCTGGAGAATTCTGGGCTTTCCTGCATGTTTTTCTAAGGTCCATTAAGAAGAGTTATCCAAATCTTGAAAATAAAGAAAAAAGATTAATGCGTACCTTTTAAGTTGCTTGCCTAAAAGTCATCTGATATTCTAGGGGAAGGTAACATTGTTTGTCTTACTAATTAGGGCCCAGACTTTGTAAAGATCGATGTTATCCTATAGAAAATGTTGCATTGCTAATGACATCTGTCCAGAAAAAAAAAAAAAAGTAACCCCAATGGTTATGGCTTTATTGCCCTGTAGGACATTAACCAGTCTGGTGTCTAACTTTGCACTCTTAGTCTAGAATTTTTATTTCCAATGGCTATCCATATATTGGTTGTCATACTCTTCTTTATTCCAGCTTTGTCATTCTGCTTCTTCTTCTGTTGAGTTAAATAGATCTTTGACATGTGTTCACTATATGTTTTATGAGAGTTAAGTTTTTAAAATTTAAAATATATATACTTGACTAATCTTAGAAGTCGACTTGGTATAATATGTTTAATTTACTGATTAACAAAGATTGTTTGTGATGTATCTTTGCTAATATTAAGGACCTGGAAATCTTGTAATTAGCATTCATAATTTTATGCAGTGTATATTATACATTTCTATGCATAAGAACACTAAGAAGAAATAACTAAGAGAAACTGGCATTTGATAAACCATCGAGTGAGTCTTGAATAGGTTTAGTGACAGAACCAAATAATTTTTTAATTTGCAAGAAATGTTCTTCCGCTACTCTGCAGAACTGTTCTTCCCTGCAACCATGTAGTTGTGAAATTCTTGCAAGCCTTCAAGTCAGGAAGCATTTCAAATAGAAAGAGGAACTTTAAAAAATGTACCCCTGGGGAAAGATTCCCTCCCTCCCAGCCCCCACCAAAAGGCCTCATAATGCATTTCAGCTGCTTCGTGCTTTCATGGCACCATTTTTAAAAATAGCAATAGAAAATTGAGCCTTTATGGGAGAGGCATCAAATATGGGGGTAAATGTTATTTTCTCTGGGTTAGGCCTAGCTCAGGATTTTATTAGCTGTTGATATTTTGTGGGAGTCCTGAAATATCTAAATTAATTGTCTTCTTTAAATTTTTTTTTTTTTTTTTTCTGAGGCAGGGTCCTGTTCTGTCTCCCAGGCTAGAGTGCAGTGGTGCGATCACAGCTCACAGCAGCTTTGACCTCCCAGGCTCAGATGATCCTTTGGCCTCAGTCTCCTGTGTACCTGGGACCAGAGGCATGCGCCACTACACTCAGCTACATTTTAAAATATTTTGTGTAGAAACTAGGTCTTGCTATGTTGCTCAGGCTGGTCTTGACCTCCAGAGCTCAAGCAGTCCTCCAACACCGGCTTTCCAAAGTGCTGGGATTACAGGTGTGAGCCACTGTGCTACCACGCCAGTACATGGATCTCTGTATTTGCCTGGGCAATGGGGTGAGAACTGATCTCTACAAAAAATTTTTTTAGAAATTAGCTGGATGTAGCAGCACACACCTGAGCAGTAGTCCCATCTACTCAGGAGGCCGAGGGAAGAGGATCCCTGGAGCCCATGAGTTTGAGGCTGCAGTGAGCTGTGATTATGCCACTGCACTCCAGCCTGGGCCACAGAGCAAGACCCTGTTTTTTAAAAAAATATATTGGGGTCAACGATCACTCCTAGTGTCCCCATGCGTGAGAAACTTCACTTCTAGTATAACTCCTTAGAGGAGTAAGTTCTCCTCCGCAAAGTAGTTCTTCAGTAAAGCAAGTCAGTTGTCTTTGCCCCATGCTGTCTCACTGTGAACCTTTGCCACCAGGGCTATTGGAGATCCTCTGATGCTCTTCAGTCACTCTGGGTTAGTCTCCTGCTAGTAAAGCTGACTGTCCCCAAACCCACAGTAATTAAATGTTGATCATTAATATGTTTTTGAGTCGTGGCAGCCCCTGCATCAATATTAAATAACTATGGTCTGCTTGAGCGCTACCATGTCCTATGTCGCTGACAGGGCGTGATCACCCCATAAGACTGAGTCAGGAACTATAGCCATCACCCCGTTTGCTGTGGCTCTGAGACTGATGAAACTTGCCTCCGTAGAAAAGAGGAAGCAGCAATTGAGCCATGCCTCTCTACAGACAAAGTTCTTCCAGTTGTCTCTAAACTTCTTACCCCCAAGTAAGTTTCACAGAGAAGTAGATTGCACAGTCATAACACCAGCATGAGTCTGGGGTCCAGCTTCTGATCTGCAGTCCAGTCTACTTCTCAGGAATGTCCTTCTAGGCCATTGTTTACATGAGTTCAAAACCAAGGAGCTATGAGTTTCCGAGAGTCCTATGCCTGGAACCTAGAGACTGCAATTCAAGGCCAGAATTTGCCTCGTCACTGTCAACTCATTCTTCCCTTTATTATCTGCTTGCTTTGAGGGCTTTTGAATTCTTAAGATATATCTTAAGTCTTTTCTCCGAGCTTTTACCTTTTCAGATTTTTAAAATAGTTGAGTTCTTTTTTTGTCCTTGGATATCTAGTAATGCTTTCTCAGACTCAGTCAAGTCTTAACCCTTCTGGGATTGCACTGTTTTAACTAGCACACAGTGGGAGGTCAGTGTGTGTGTGTGTGTGTGTGTGTGTGTGTGTGTGTAAGACAGACATCAAAGGTTTCAGGAATTATTGGACCCTGTCAAAATTCTGAATAGCTCAGTCCATATTTACTAATGCATCTCCCTCTTCCAGCCCCTCTGCACTTCCTCCTTCTAGTTCTCATGTTGGCAAGTGTATTAGTTAGGGTTCCCTAGAGTGACAGAATTAATAGGATATTATATGTATATATAAAGGGGAGTTTATTAAGTATTAACTTACATGATCTCAAGGTCTCGCAATAGGCTGTCTGCAAGCTTGAGGAGCAAGAAGAGCCAGTTCGAGTCTCAAAACTGAAAACTTGGAGTCCAATGTTTGAAGGCAGGAAGCATCCAGCATGGGAGAAAGATGGAGGCCGGGAAGTTAGGCCAGTCTCACCTTTTCATGTTTTTCTGTCTGCTTTATGTTTGTTGGCAGCTGCTTAGATTGTGACCACCAGACTGAGGGTGGGTCTGCCTTCCCCAGCCCACTGACTCAAATGTTAATCTTCTTTGGCAACACCCTCATAGACACACCCAGGGTCAATACTTTGCATTCTTCAATTCAGTCAAGTTGACACTCAGTATTTAACCGTCACAGAAGGGCAAGAGAACACACAACACGATATTATCACAATATTTTTACCATGGCAAACTTAAGGTGTCCCATTCACACAGATGCCATCAAAATCGAACAGAAAAGGGAATGAGGAGTTAATTTCTTTTAGACTTGCTGCTTAAACTTATTCAGAATCTCTTAGATTGGGAGCTGACTTTTTTTGTGGCATTCCTTTCTCATAGACCACTTTTTCTGCTGAGAGCTGACTTGGGGTCAAGAAAAGAAGAACAAACTAGTATTTAAATGAAATAGCATACATTTAAATAGGTCTTTTAATTTTTTCAAGTATTTAATCTCTGTTAACTATATTCCTGTGGCATCCATATGAAGAGATAAGTAGCACATTTAAAAGCATTTCTATTGAAGTTAGAAAACTCATCTAATCTTTTCATGCATCTCTAGAATTTAAAAGATTGATGCTCAGAAATGATTATAATTGTTCTAGTGGTGGTGCCAGCTACTGTGCCCAAAGAAGGATCTGTCTGTAACTAAATTCCTTGGGATGGCCATGAATGGTAAATCTTACCTTTTTTGAGGCCCCTGTTAGCATCAATTTTCTGGAGTTTCCCTGCCTTTCTCACCTTTCTTCTTTTGTCAAAATCAGATAATATTTTTCTAGATCTCTTTATTCATCCAATTAAATATTTCCATGCTTCTGAGATGTCTATGTAACCTATACAACAAAAAGAGCATATTGAATGAGCCCAATGAATGAGACATCTAAAATCCCACAATAAAAAAAGGAAGAAAAAATTAGAAGCATTTTTTTTTTTTTAAATCAGACAGAAAAGTTGCGTTTTTTTGTTTTGCTTTTGTTTGTTGTTTTTTTTAACCAGTCCTGAAGTGTTGGCAAGGTCTTGTATCATGAAGTCTCTGCTTGACACAGAAAACATTTGGAGCAATCAGAATTGGCTTTGATTGTTCTCATGGAATTTTGACCCCAAGAAAGTAGGAAAATCCCTTTTATGTATATTTACTCTCAATGAACCTCCATTTCCGTATCTTGCCTTCCTATGCCCCATCCCATCTCGGTTTATTATTCAAATTCTGCCTGCTTTCATTCATTCAACAAAAATTATTGAGTTATATTGCATGCCAGAAAGTATTTGATATGTTCCCAACCATCTGAGCTGGCCATTCTTCCATTGGATAGAGCCTAATAGGAACTCAGGAGTCTGAAACCCCTTTTAGATAAGATTAAGGAAAAAGATCAGAAAATCAATTTTTGATTAATGAAGATATTTTACAAATGTTTTGTGGTTGTTTCAAAACGTTTTCATATTTACTTAGCATGTTCATAGATTACAAAGGATTTTCATTAATACTCTTTAACTATAAAGTCCATTTCCAAGGTTGGGAAAGTTTTAGTAGGGCTTCCTCACTAAGAACTTCATGAGTGTAGAGGCTGTGTTTTATTGTGTTTATAGCTTTAGAATTTGTCCCAGGGTCAAGTAGTGAATAGGCTCTTACTAAGTAATTGTTAAATGAATATCTTCACTACATGTATATAAGTTCTTTCCTCTACTGGTTTGTAATTGGAGGTTCTTTGCACTACCTCCTTTCCATGTGCACAGCATTATTCTTATCAGACAAGGAATTTGGCTGAATCTTACCCAGGAAATATGTTAGGTTGAACTTAGAGGATAGACTGGAACAGTACCATGCATCCTAGTCATGTCATCAGTCCTTGAAACCATAATTGCAAAGGTTTCACATCATCATTTACAAAATGAAAAGTTTGGTAAAGACACAAAGTTGTAAGGTGGAGAAAACTGGAGAACTAAAAGAATCTCATATTAGGGATGGCAGTTTCATGATTACAGTAATTAGGTTTCAGAGATATTAAGGCAACAGTAAGATTGCAAACAAAAGCAGTAGGATGGCATCTGAAGCAAGAAGTTCACCAAGATGACTTCAATTTTCCTCTTTCATTGGGGACTTGGAGTTAATTTCCTCTATATTATGTCTTCAAAGTGCATGGACTTCTGGTTAAAAACACTAAGCTATTTGATGAACAGGATATAAGAAATGATAAGAATAATGATCTGGCTTTTTGGCTTCTGGAAGAAAACAAGATAATAAGCTTAGATGGTAACTATATTAGAAACAAGGGCAATAAGAATTTCAAGAATGTTAAGGTCTTGATTTTGATCCTGTGATAAGACTATTTCTTGCTATTTCTTTCTCCCAACCAGAAATCTTTAATTTTCTGATTTTTAATTGTCATATCTATGAAAACATCCTTAGCAGGTAACCTAAGACTTAGAGGTTGAAAATGTGAGATTAATATTGGCAGAAAATGTTGGAAGACAACTTTAGATACCTGGAACTTAGGTATCTTTTCTGTGAGATCTTGGAAAAGTCACTGATATGGTTTAGCTCTGTGTCCCTACTCAAATCTCATGTTGAATTGTGATCCTTGGTGTTGGAGGTGGGGCCTGGTGAGAGGTGACTGGATCATAGTGGGGGGTTTCCAGTAGTTTAGCACCGTTGCCCTAGTGCTGAGACAGAGCTCTCATGAGATCTGGTTGTTTGAAAGTGTGTGACACCTCCTCTGTCCCTCTGTCTCCTGCTGGCTATGTGAACTTGTGCTTGTTTCTTCTTTGCCTTCACCCCCATTGTGAGTTTCCTGAGGCCTCTCAAGAAGCAGAAACCTATACAGCCTGTGGTGCCATGAGCTGATTAAACCTTTTGTCTTTATAAATTGCCCAGTCTCAGATAATTCTTTATAGCACTGCAAGAACAGACTAATATGGTCACCTAACCTCTCTGAAGTTCCGTTTTCTAACTTCAGTAGAAATATTTTTAAATTGACCCACTTACCTCTTCATATAGATGTTGTAGGAATAGAGTTAACAGAGATAAAATACCTAGAAAAATTAAGAGACCTATTCAAATGTATGCTATTTTATTTAAGTACTAGTTTGTTTTTCCTTTATTGACCCCAACTCAGCTCTGAGTAGAAAAACTGATCAATAAGAAGGGAATGTCACAAAAAAGTCAGCTCCATATCTAAGAGAAGACTAAGTTTAAGCAGCAGGTCTAAAAGAAATTAGCCACTCACCCACTGCTTCCTATTCTCTTTTCTGTTTGATTTTTATGGGCATCTGTGTGGATGGGGTAATCTTAAGTGTTTGCTGTGGTAAAAATATTATGATAATTGTGTTCTGTATTCTCTTGCCCTGCCAACATGAGAATCAGAGACAGGAAGTACAGATGAGCTGGAAGAGTGAGTTGCATCAGTAAATATGAGCTGAGCTACTCAGAACTTTGACAGGGCCCAATAATTTCTGAAATTGTGCATGCACATGCACACACACACTCACCCCTACAATGACCTTCTACCAGACACTTCTCTGAGCACTGCTATACAATGTTGAAAAATACACATTCCCTGCTTTCAAGGAGCTTATATTCTAATGAGTGAAGAAATAAAATAGTGGATTCATAACATAAATTACAACAAATTCAAATAATTATATGTGCTATGAAAAAAACCCAAAATAATTAAATAAAGAGTAAAGGGGAGGTGAGAATGGGGCTGGAGTTGACAACTAGAGAGGTACTAGTTAGACAAGAGAAGGTGACATTTGAACTGAAATCTGAGTATATAGAGACACCAACCAGGGAAAGCTCTGAAAGATAGTTGGAATGAATACAATGAGGAAAATCTGCAGGAAAATGAGGTTGCAGAGGTAAACCACAGCCAAATAAAATGCAGCTTTTTAGTCTATGAACTTGGAATTTATTCCAGGGAGAATAGGAAACTCTTAGGGGAGTCTGATCTTTGATTTGTGGACTAATGTCTTTCATTAACCTTGGATTAAATCTTAGCCATTATCTCTATAAATATTTCTTCCGCCTTATTCCCTCTTCTTCTTTTTGATGAGCTACATGTATATCAGACCATCTCACAGTGTCATATCTAAAGCATTCTATTGTTTTTCTTCATTCTTTTTTTTCTTTATGGTTCAGTTTAAATAATTTTTGTTAAACTCCCTTCAGATTTACTGGTCCTTTCTTCAGGATCAGTAAAGGTTGGTGTTCAGTCTTGTAGTTAAACACGTTAAATGAATTTTTCATTTCTAATATTGCAGTTTTCAGCTCTATAATTTCCATTTAATCCTTTCAGAGAGTTTCTTTTTTTTTTTTTTTAAGACGGAGTTTCGCTCTCGTTACTCAGGCTGGAGTGCAATGGCACTATCTCGGCTCACCGCAACCTCCGCCTCCTGGGTTCAGGCAATTCTCCTCCCTCAGCCTCCTGAGTAGCTGGGATTACAGGCACGTGCCACCATGCCCAGCTAATTTTTTGTATTTTTTAGTAGAGACGGGGTTTCACCATGTTGACCAGGATGGTTTTGATCTCTTGACCTCGTGATCCACCCGCGTTGGCCTCCCAAAGTGCTGGGATTACAGGCATGAGCCACCATGCCCAGCCCAAGAGTTTCTATTTTTATGCTAAAGTTCCCTGTCTGGAACAAAGTAATTTCCTAAAATATTTTGGTTGAGTGAATAAATTGGTTTTGCTGCTTTGTCAGGAAAAAGGATTTTTTTTTTTTTGAAATGGAGTGTTGCTCTGTCACCCAGGCTAGAGTGCAATGGCACGATCTCGGCTCACTGCAACCTCCGCCTCCTGGGTTCAAACAATTCTCTGCCTCAGCCTCCCAAATAGCTGGGATTACAGGTACCCACCACCACATCTGGCTAATTTTTTTTGTATTTTTAGTAGAGATGGGGTTTTTACCATCTTGGCCGGGCTGGTCTTGAACTCTTGACCTCGTGATCCACCCGCCTCGGCCTCCCAATGTTCTGAGATTACAGGTGTGAGCCACCGCACCCAGCAGAATTTTTGTAAATACAGAAAGAAATCACATCTGGACTGGAAAATTTAGTATCACGAATTAGGGATCTTCCACTAAGACTCAGTAACTCATGGTACAACCAGGTGATAGCCATCTTCATTTTAATATTTTGCAAATTTAACCTTATTTTAGAGACAGCCAATGTAATAAGGCACTCGCATATTACTAATGTTTTTATACTTGGTCAGTTCCTTCTGGAAGCTCACAGTAGGACTAGACCCACATGCATATAAACATTAAGTAACTTTGCTCAATAGTGTGGAACTATTGCAACTGTAATAAATGTCTCCCTTTGCAAATGATTTAAGTAAAGTCAGAAAGTCTTTGGGTTCAATTTTTATCCCTGGAAAAAAGACAAATATTCCACTGGCAACATGTAGAATATGTTCCTTGGAGTAGATGATACATGACTTAAATTTCCTCTCTCTAGAGAATAGTTTTGGCAGGCCTCTCTATGTGCAAATGTGAACGAGAGATACAGTTTTCACCTGGAGAGGAAAGCCCCAGAAGTCTGTCCTGCAAAGAGCAATCACTAGAGTGCTAGGAATCCCAGAATTTAACAAGTAAAATTCAAAAGAAAAGTAAAAGCGAATAGGAGAAGTCTCAAGTAATCCATTAAATGTTTCTGGAGCAGACAAAACAAGGCAATAATAAGGCCAGGCTGTGGAGTTTTATAACAAGCAAAACATAAATGCATGTTTTCCAGAAAGCACAGGCCTCTCACATAAGTTTAAAGAGACTGATGCCTCTGGCAAGGGGATTATGCATAGAGTTGCAATCACCACTATGTTTCATTAGTGCTTATTATTAC